GGTCAATGACATGAGACAAAGTATATGTGAACTGCTGTATGGAAAGTGAATTTGCTCTGTAAATCTTCACCCAAATCACACACACAAAAAAAGAAACAAACAAACAAACAAACCCAAAGAGGGGTCATTATGAGATTATGAGTCGGGCAGACTCCATGGCACATAACAACAACAATTTGCTATGTAAACTTTCACCTAAAACACAATTAAAAAACAAAAACAAAACCCTTGGGCCTCTAGCAAAGCAAGTGATCCCCTACTCTCCCCTCTATACTTAGGGTCACAATTCTGTCTGGGCACATTTACAAATGACCCTAAATGAGTTTTCAGGGTCTCAGAAGGCAGTCCAAACCAAACAAACTCACTGCCCAACCTTCCTTCTGAGGCCTTAGGCACTACACCACCAGAGCTCCCAGTCCAGGTTATTTTAAATATGGTATCACTGACTGATACAAAACAGTGTCTAAGCTACTATGTGGGAGCTCTGGTGGCATGTTGTTGTTGTTGTTGTTGTTGTTAAGTGCCGTCGAGTCGTTTCCGACTCATAGCGACCCCATGCACAGCAGAACAAAACACTGCCCGATCCCGCGCCAGCCCCACAATCCCTGCTATACTTGAGCCCATCATTGCAGCCACCGTATCAATCCATCTCGTTGAAGGCCTGCCCCTCTTTCGTCGACCCTCCACCCTACCAAGCATGACATCCTTCTCCAGGGAATGGTCCCTTCTGACAACATGACCAAAATAGGTGAGACGAAGTCTGGCCATTCTTGCTTCCAAGGAGCATTCTGGCTGCACTTCCTCCAGGACAGATCTGTTAGTTCTTTTAGCAGTCCATGGTACTTTCAGCATTCTTCGCCAGCACCACAACTCAAAAGCATGAACACTTCTTCGGTCTTCCTTATTCATTGTCCAGCTCTCACATGCATACCAGGCGATTGGAAATATCATGGCTTGTGTCAGGCACACCTTAGTCCTCAATGAGATATCCTTGCTCCTCAGCACTTGAAACAGTTCCTTCGCAGTTGACTTTCCCAATGCTACATGTCGTCTAATGTCCTGACTGCTGCTTCCGTTGGCATCGATTGTAGAACCAAGCAACGTGAATTCCTTGACAACCTCAATCTTCTCTCCATTGATTGTGATGCTGCTCATTGGTCCAGTTGTGAGGATTTTTGTTTTCTTTATGTTGAGATGTAATCCATACTGCAGACTGTATTCTTCAACCTTCATCAGTAGGTGCCTTAAGTCATCCTCACTTTCAGCAAGCAAAGTTGTATCATCTGCATATCTCAGGTTGTTAATGATTCTTCCTCCGATCCTGACACCACGTTTTTCTTCATATAGTCCAGCTTCTTGGATTATTTGCTCAGCATATAGATTGAATAAGTGTGGAGAAAGAATACAACCCTGACGCACTCTCTTCTTGATTTTAAACCATGTAGTGTCCCCTTGTTCTGTTCGAACGACAGCCTCCTGGTCAAGGTACAGATTCCTCATGAGTACAATCAAGTGCTCGGGGATTCCCATTCTTCTCAATGTTGTCCATAATTTGTCATGATCCACACAATCAAATGCCTTTGCATAGTCAATAAAACACAAGCAAACATCTTTCTGGTATTCCCTTCCTTGAGCCAAGATCCATCTGACAACAGCTATGATATCCCTTGTTCCACATCCTCTTCTGAATACTGCTTGAACCTCTGGAAGTTCTCTGTCAGTATACTGCTGCAAACGTTTCTGAATTATCTTCAGTAAGATCTTACTTGCATGTGATATTAATGATATTGTTCTATAATTTCTACATTCTGTGGGATCACCTTTCTTTGGAATGGGCACAAATATGGACCTCTTCCAGTCAGTTGGCCAGGTAGCTGTCCTCCAAATCTCTTGGCATAACTGAGTGAGTGCCTCCAATGGGGCATCTGTTTGTTGAAATATCTCAATCGGTATGCCATCAATTCCCGGAGCCTTGTTCTTCGCCAGTTCTTTCATTGCAGCTTTGACTTGTTCCTTCATTACCATTGGTTCTAGATCATATGCCACTTCCTGAAATGGATGAAGATCGATCAGTTCTTTTTGGTACAGTGACTCTGTGTATTCCTGGTGGCATAGTGCAAGGCATTTAACTGCTAACCAGAAGGCTGGCGGTTCAAATCCATCAGCCACTCCTCAGAAGGAAGGTTGGGCAATCTACTTCTGTAGTGATACTGCCTCAGAAACCCAAAGAGGGGTCGCTATGAGTTGAAATCGACTCCATGGCAATGAGTTTTTTTGTTGTAAGGTACCGTGTCATAGTCTTGGGGGTGCTTCTTTAAGTATTGTTTTTCTCTTTATACATACATTGCAATCAATAAAAAAATTGTTACCTAAGACTCACTTTAAATGGAAAAAACACATTTAGATTTTATCTGATAATGCTAACAGACAACTTCTGATGATCTTAACCAATAAAGCTGAGGCAACAGACCAAATATTTTCCCTTGAGATCTAAACCCACTTTCATAAATCTTAAGTAAAAATCAAAATAACCTAGTAGACTATTTAAATCATGCCCATAGTCCTCAGTAAATACAAATAATGGACTGCATTCATTCCCACTGTAATGTGAGTGCTGCAAGGAATTCTAATTGTAAATAACTCTCTTGCCTAAAAAATTTTATAGTTAAATAAAATTTTCTGCTTATTGATTCTTTGGAATTTTCACTGTAGATCACAAAATAAGAAATTTAACAAAAATTCTGCTTTATCCAAGTAGAAACAGTTGGGATGTGAAAAGGTCAAACAGCACATGCTTTAGGGAAATGCTCCCCACCCCCACCCCCAGGACTGGAGAATCTACTGCAATGACAAAGCTGAGAGCCAGTGCCTACAGAAGCACAGCTGATTTCAGGCCCAGACAAGTGCACAGCTGCGGCGTTGAGCATAAGGGAAGATGCAAACAGCATCCTGGGCGGGTCGTGGTGGGCTAGAAAATGAATGAGAAAATTGACACCTCTAGTTTGATTTTCTACGGGAAGAAAACTAACACAAAGACCAACAACAGATTTGTTTTCAACTTTGATAAGTAGTGAACCTGACCAGAGTGTTCAAAACAACTGCACAGTTAGCATATAGAAGAGAAACATTTTAATTAACAAAGTATCAAATATTGACTTAGCTTGTGGAAACCTCACTTGGACATCTTGGAAAATTGTACTAAATTCTAGGGATAAATGTTTGCACTGGGATTAAAAATACAAAAATCTAAAAGTCCCACAGTATCAATTACAATATAATGTCGATTAGGGTTCCAAGGCTGATCGGCTTTTTCTTTCCCCCTGAGATCTGTTGTTCAAAAGTAAAGAAAAATAAAAGACTATTCCCCCCAAAATTTTGATCAGATGAAAGAATTTTACTAATCTGCACACTGAATATGTATGTTTTTTAAATTACTGTAATAATTTGATGATTTCCAGAAAAATAAAAGCTTGTAAATTAAATGGTAGACTGTTTCTATGTTTTCTGGGAGTTTAGAAGAATATTTAAAATTTTGTGTCTTCAAGGTACAAGTCCAAATTTTTTTTTAAAGTCTTTATCCAATCAAGAAGCTGCACACGTCTGGCGTTTGGTCAGCTTGTGGTATTTGTGAGCGAGGTCCACGGCTGTCCTTCCTTGCTGAAAGGGGAAAGACCATAATATTGAGTTCCAGTGATTTCCCATTTTCTTAACTCCTTTGAAAAGGTAATTGACTTCTTCTTCAGTGAAGTTTTTACGAATTCTTCTTTTCTCTGCAATTCATGAGAATTGTAGAATCTATTAGTTCTTACAGAAATAAAAGGGTCTTCTTGAGATCCAAGTAAGTGCTTACCCTCTTCTAAGGATATGAACTATATAGTGATGAAATGTCATGCTGGGGATACTTATCATACGAAAATCTGCTTCGATTAACAGAACAAAACAGTGCTCACTATTAAGCTAGCTGCTGTTACTTTCTCAATAATTGTAACTTAATCCTGTTATAGTAATACTTGCAAGACCTTTCAATCAAGAAATACAGACGTTTATAAAGAGTCACTTGTTAATTCCTGGGAGGACAATTAACGAACAGCTTACCTATCTTACAGTCTTCCCAAAGGGCTCCGTAACGTCATAACATAGAAAAGAATATCAACACTTGTTATTTTAAATATCAGACTGGATTAATATTTTTAAAGAATAAGTGTCTTTTGAAATTCACCTTAATAAATACATTCGCTGCCTAAGTGTCCTTAGCTCAATCAAAACAAAAAAATAACGGTAAGCTGCATAATGGAAGAGGAAGTTCGAAACTATCTTGTTTTTAGGAATACTTTCTACAAGAGAAAATATGCACAGTTACCATCTGTACCTACAAATATTTTCTGGTGATAATTAGTAAGAAATGGTTTTCTTAAACGAAAGACAGGCATTGAGTTGAACACTTCCCTGAGGTAGATACACTCCTTGGAGAGAACAATCATGGGAGAAAGGGCTGTCTATGCACCAGGAGACAGCTCAGGGGGCAGGAGTGCATGGAGCGAAGGACATAGGGAACAGGTAACTATGGGGAGGAAGTGGGAGGTGAGCTGTTGCATCGGGGTAAACTGTACTCAATGTCATGAGATAGAGTGTATGTGAACTGCTGTATGGAAAATGAATTTGCTCTGTAAATTTTCACCCAATCACAATAAAAATGAAAAGAAATGGTTTTCCTTAAGCTTTTCATTCATTATTAATTCATGCTATCATTGTTGGTAGATGGTGGGGAGGAGTTTTTTGTACTCTTCTGCTTGAGGCTGTCGTTACTTCTGTGGGATTGGAAGTACTGTATTTTTCTGCAAATAATGTGCTTGTTATATGTTTTGGTATTTTTGCAAACCTCTGACCCTCTCACTTTAGTTTCCTATGCACACCATGTGCGTTATGTGTGTGTGCATGTAATTCACATGAGCATACTGTATGCAAAATACAGTAGTAATGCTGGGAGACTTGAAAATGCTGCCTATTGCCATCTGTCGACCTCAACTAACAGAGACCTCCACAACTCAGACATTTTAAAACAGAAGAGAAAATCTTCCTTACAACACAAGGATGAGAAATCAATGTGGACAATGTCTCATTATTACTTCATAATATTACTCAGAATGTTCCACGAGGGCAGGGATTTTTGTCTTGTTTTGTTTACCATTGTATCCCCAGTGCCTGGAACAGTGTCTGACACATAGTAAGTGATCTGCAAATATTTGTTGAATAAAAACATTATCATTGCCAAAAATGTTCCAAACTTATCAACAAAGGAGTTCCGGTAAGATGGTGGAATAGGCAAACAGACTGCACAGACCCTTTTCAACAAAGAAAAGGGGAACCAGTTAACACAGATACAGAAGATAATCCTGGAGCCCTGAGCTTTGAAGGGAAGGATATAGAAGTGGACTAAACTCCAACTAGTAGAAGAACATGCATGAAGACACCAAAAAAGGAGACATAGGAGCTGTGGTCTGGCAGCAATCCTGATGGCACAGACAGCTTGGATATTGCCCAGCAGTGCTAGGACCTAAGAATTAACCTAAAAATCGGCCCTGCTAGCTAGGGGCTGCACGGAGTTCTGCACTGGTGGCTGGTGATTAAAAGAGGAAGTGGTGAAGAGAAAGGTGGGCCGAGCTGTGGACTTTTGCCTGTCAGAAGGATACAGCCATTTTGAATGTTTACAAGCAGTTCAACCATTTTGGATATTTAAAGGGACAGCATTCTCCCAGATTCCAGGGACTTAAGAATAGACTCCACTTGTTAGGAACCACAAAGACATTCTGGACACCAATGACTGGAAAGGTGCAGCATTCCCGCTGTTACTCTTATACCCCACACTGTCTTGGTGAATGGAGGTGCAGCCATCCCTCACTCCAACCCAGATTCTGGGTTGGCAGGAATTCCATCCCAGGCTGTGTGCTGGGTTGGAGCCTGGGTGCTTGGCCCCGCCTAGATTTTTTTTTCCTTTTCTTTTTCATTTAGTTTGTTTTTGTCTGTTTAAAATTAATATTATTAATTTTTTTTTTGTATTCCTTTTATTATTATTCTTTACTCTTCCTTTCCCAGGTTCTGGTTTTCAGCTTTTTCTCTCTTCCCTTTTCCTGGTTCCCATTTTTTTCTTTCTTATGGTTAAACCCATTCCTTGTTTTTCTTTTTGCATGTTTCATATTTTTTTTCTTCTTCATTATTCTTCCACTCTACCTTTTTTCTCTTATTGCATCGCCCTCTCCACAAATATTTCGGGTTTTTCTTTTCTTTTTTTGGTTATTGTTCCTGTGTGTTTATACAGTGTGTTTTTGTCCACTTGCTTTTACTTTTTTGATGGTTATTAGATTGTTGTTTTTGTCTAACTGAGTGGGAGACAGCAACAGTGCCTATATGACACAACTACACCTGTGCCTTCAGCTTCACTTACTGAGAGCCACCACCTCCTTCTCCACCAACTGGCCAAAGATAAACGACCTACCAAGAAGAGCCTGACTCATCCTTAACTGCTGTTCACAAACAATTAACAGAGATCTAAATACAACAGTGTCACAATGTCTCTGAGACAATAGACCATCACAGTCCACACAAAGAAATAATATAAAGTGGTAGAAACAAGGGAGCAGGATACAGACCCAGAACACAACCCTGAGGAAGAAGCAGCATTGGAACTCCCTGATAAGGAATTCAAAAGAATTATATTTAGGTATTTTCAAAGGATTGAGAGACAGATCAAGGAAAACACTGACAAAATTAAGGAAAACATAGACAAAACCCTAGAACAATTTTGGAAGAAAATACAAGAATAAAATTCAAAAGAAATGCAAAATTAGAAATGATACAAAAATCTACAGATAGAAATCCAGAAGATTAAGACTAAATTTTCAGAAATAGGTAACACAGAAAGAGGAAAGGAGTAGAACTGAATCAATGGAAGACAGAATTAATGAGATGAATAAATGAGATTAATAAATTACTGAGATGACTCCACAGTCATAATGGGAGACTTTAATATACCACTTTCAATGAAAGTTAGAACAACTGGAAAGAAACTCAACAAAGATGTTGTTTTGGTTACCTAGTGCCACTCTGACAAGAATATACCACAAATCAGATGGCTTTAACAAACAGGAATTTATTCTCTTACAGTTTGGAGGCTTTAAGTCTAAGTTCAAAGTGCCAGGCTCTAGGGGCTGGGTGAAAGCCCTTTAACCTTATAACCTTAGACTTCAGCTCTGCCTCCTGCTCCCAGCCCGCTGGAGCTAGAGGCTTCTCTTCACTCAGACAGCTGCTGGCTGCTGAGACTGACAAACCCAAGGTTGACAAGTAAAATGGCACAGTCCCAATGTTACCAAACCACATGGCAGGCCATTAATTCAAGTCCATTGTAAATGCCAAGGACAGCAGAGCATGGTAGGCTGCTGAACAATGACATGGCTACATGCAGGGTCCAAGTGTGCCATGAGCTAGAGACCATTCCCCAAAGCTGTTTCTTATATATTGGGAAGCAGACCACATACCCAAAGGCAGTTATTCAGCTCCTCACAGTAGATTCTGCCATGGACTTGATTACCAGTCCCATCATGGGGAATACTAAAGCCAGCTGCCCAGCCACTCAACCAGGCCCAGCCAAGTTGACACATAAACTTCACCACCACAGACGCAGAAAAGCTAAACAATACAATCTACCAACTTGACCTTATAGACATCTACAGAGGACTTCACCCAACAACAGCAGTGTCCATGGAACATTCTCCATGATAGACCGTATGTTAGGCCATAAAGCAAGCCTTAATAAATTTTAAAACAATGAAATACTGCAAAGCATCTTCTCACATCACAATGCTATCAAATTAGAAATTAGAAATCAACAATAGGAAGATCAATGGAAAAAGAGCAAACACATGGAAACTGAACAGCACCCTCCTTAAGAAAGACTGGGTAAGAGAAGAAATAAAAAATGAAATAAAAAAATTCCTTGAATCAGGGCAACGTACCAAATGTGAGTGATTAACACGGTGGCACTGAGGAAGAGGAAGACATAGAGAGGTCCATGGGAGGTACAGACAACAAAGATGAACCCTGTGATAGTTGAAGATGTGTCAACTTGGCTGGACTCCAGTTGTGAGTGGTGGTTCCCATGATGGGATCAGATGACTGAGTTCTGAGTGGCTGGTCTGCCCAAGGGGAGTTTCCCCAGGGGTGTGGCCTGCTTGCAATTCTATTCCAAGGACAAGCTGGAAGAACGGCATTCCGGACTATATA